GAAAGAGGAAGATTGTCTCTGTAGTGAGTATATGCAGATGGGCTAGTGATTTTTGTTTAAGTGTTTTAATCCATGGTTTTAACTGGAGATTTAGGTGTGGCTACAAGGGTTGGTGGAAGGCACTCAGTGTAGGGGTGCATTGACAGAGATTTTGGGGGCCAATACCAATAGCCGATTTTTAAGGAGGCATATTGGCTTATACTAATCCGATTTCTGATACAGCTGTGTGCAGCTGGTAAGTCTGTTGTAGTGAAAGGGGCACGGGGGCCCAGATAAACGCCCCCCGTGGTGAGGGAGGGAGTGGGGTTGGGGTAGGCATTGTCCAGCCAGGACAGGGTGGGTGCGGGATTGAGCTGCAGCTTGTGTGTGGCCCTGTATTTGTGCTGGCCAGGCCAGGCAGGCTGCAGTGCTGCGCTCATAGCAGGCGGCGGCAGCACTGGGAGGGGGGCTATGCAGTGAGGGAGCCGTAGTCCCCTCACCGCAGGAGGCTTTGAGCTACGCCCCCATGCCCCTTCTTTCCCCCTCCCCTTTCACCACTGCAGGCTTACCAGCTGCGCACATGCATGGGGCATGTATCAGCAAAATTATCAGTCACGCCAGGCCAATTTCCGATATAGTCAATTTTCTTTATATCGGTGCTGATCCAATATTGGACTGAGTTAGAGGTACACCAATGCATCAGTACTTTAAATCCTGCAAGAGCCGGGGGGGCAGAGGGCTGAAGACTGAGGGTAGCAGCCAGCAAGGGTAAGAGACTGACCAAGGGTGAGTGAAGGTGGGCTGAAACCATAATTTGGGCCAACAGGTTCATTAGTGCCAGCAGGGCATGAGGGGTCTAGGGCCCAAGACACTGAGGCAGGGCTGGTAGGTCCAGAGGCAAGAGGGATAGCAAGGCAGAACCAGTGGACCCAGAGCTAAGAGAAAAATGAAGAAGAGTAATGCCTTACGCAGGCAGGAACTAGGGTCAGAACACAGTCACACAGTGGATGAACAGGGCTAAGTAAGGCACTCAGGTCTTACTTTGGACTCTGGTGGCAGCCTCCCATGTTTATATTAAAACATTAAGGTATGGCAGGTGAGCAAAGGGTGGAGCCCAAGAGCCTAGCATAGGAAAGACAGGGTCAGAGTGGCCCCTAGGGGGTGCCCCAGCTGTCCCCTGGAAGGCGGGGACTGTCACATACACCTTCCTCTATCCAGCAGAATTTAGATCCTCATCAAATTTAAAAATATTTTAAAATCAAAATATAGGATAGGAGTAGAGACTAAACTAAACTAATTTTATTTAAGATTATTTTAAAATCAAGAAATTCTGATTGGACTCCAGTTCTTTCTTTGCCCAGGTGCAAAATTTTACATACAAGCATTTTCTAGATTCTTTGGGTTAAAAAAAAAAAAAAAAAAAAAAAGTTTCTTTGCCTGCCTATGTCCTTAGACCAACATGGCTACAACCTAAACCTCTTTTTCTAGATTCTTCTTCTGTTCAAAGAACAAGATAAAAATTATTTGCCTGATGGTTTAATTTTCAACTGAATCCAAGTTGAATCCAATAGGGGTATGGAACGTTTTCTGGATGGAGCTAAATTTAACTTACGGAGTTATCATCACTCCACTGCCAAGTTCCTAGAGAATCTGGATCCCTCTTGTTCAGTCCAACCCATACCCATCGATCATTGCTGTAAATAAAAACGACAACAAATCTCAGCACAAGATTTCATTAATTTTAGTTAAGAGCAATCTGAATAATTTCTAAAATCTTTCTTCTAACTGCTGTTAAGAATGCAAGAATCATGGGCCCCAAAGAAAAACAAAAGTGTGACAGTGGACCACCAGGGAGGACACTTGTCCCAGAAGAAGGGAGTTCTTGAACCCAGGAATGTTTTTGCGTTTCACAAGAAAAAGTCTTTGGATTAAAAAAAACAAACAAACAACCCACCCTGGAAAGAACCAAGGAAGAAGGGGGCAGAATTCACATCTCTCCCCTCCTCAAGGGCCCAACTATAAGGCTAGAGAGTCAAGCTTCTTCCTGCTTTCTTTGTTTCTGACCCTCTGACTCTGGCATTCTTAGCTGCAGAGTAGCCCAGGCTCAGTTCAGACCCAATGCCTTTTAAGCATGTGGGACTCAAACAAGGGCATTTAAACCTTTTTTGAACTAGGATTTTGGTTAGCAGGAAAAAATATAATGATCTCTTGGCAAATATTTTGCCCATCTCTAACAATGAACTTCCAATATCAGAATTTATCAAGGTCCTTGTTTTTTGCTCTGCTATAATGATATTAAATTAAAAATACAAGTGGAAGCACCAAAGAGTCTAAAATACTCTGTATCTCTCTACAGGAAACCTTCTAAACCCAACATTTACATTCTTCTAACAACTAAATTGCTTCCGGCAATTTGCCCTGAGGATTTTATTTTTCTACAATTGTCCATCTCTGCACAGTTAATCAAACACTCTCTGCCATAACCCAGAGCTTAGAAAAGTTTAAGCAATCTATCACCATAGAGGAACAAACCTACTAATGAAAACCCTTGAAAACCTATTTCAGAAGACTTCGTAGTAATTACTTGAGGGAACAGAGCAATTTCTAAAATCTTTCAACTTTTTGGTTTGCTTTTATTTTTTGAAAAAGATTCCAGATTTAGAGTTTCCTCAATTTAATTCCCAATTTATATTACCCTGACTTTATATTATTTATATTATGACTTTGTCTGACTTGGCATCTATGTCAATGCATATTTCCACTCGTCCTTTAAGGCAGCTCAGACACAAACACGAATCTCATTCAACAACTGATCCACTGTTCTTGATAGCACTTTGAAGAGGCACCTGTACACTGCAGCCAGCACCAACCATACCTGGCACCCCTCAGAGCCACTCCACACAACCCATAGCAAGAGCAAGGAGTGGCTCTGGGGGTCCCTGCATACTCCAGTCAGGTGGGAACAGCAGTGGGACCCCCTTCCTGTCTCCCCCAATGTTCCTGGGACTCCAGCTACAGGAAGCAGCTGTGCAGGTTACTGGGCTCTGCAGGGGACAGTAGTAACAAATAGCAGCAGAAAAAGGAGATGCAACTGAACTGCCATACCCCTGGATCCAACCCTGATTGTGACATACATTTAGAAGGCATTCTCTGGTACAGAAACCCTGAAATACAGATGTGCAATAGTACTCCATCCCCACTACAGCTGCTATTGTATCACGGAATCTACTGATACAATAGTGACATTCTCTGGTTGCACATTTTTAAGAACTGTGTGGTAGAGTGCACCAGTGTTCCAGGGCTATAAACTGGATAGTACAGCTCTTTGTGGTGGTTAGAGTAACAAGATTAGATCATATACTACTGCAGCACAGAAGGAACCTAAAATGGATTCAGTCTGCTTGATCAAGGACTCACACATGGCAGCCTGAAGGATTCTAAATCTGATGTTCTGGTGCTGAAGACTTTACACGTGGATGATGAGGACTCATACAGAACTAGCGTTTGGTAAATGTTGCTTAATATGATGTATAATTTTTCTCCCCCATCTGCACAGTAGCACAATGCTGTATGAACCATGGATAATATGCAACAGGAATGGGACTTACTCTTTTCTAAAGTTCTGATTGCTGGAATAGAAGAGGGAATTTCTGTCTCTCATATGTAGACAGAAGAAAGATCCTATACAGTATTCAGAGTGTAAGTGAATCATATTTAAGACCTTTAACAATCTAACAATTAAGGGATGGGAATACAGAACAAAATAGTTATGGCATATGTGAGCCAGCTCCAAAACTGTGCTATTTGAAACAGATTATGATCAGTTTCTAAAATCTAATTTCAGCTGCTGAACTCTACAGTTTAGGGGGCGGTAAAAGACCCTGCATGTAAAAGGTAGAGCCAATAAGCCAGGGATTAAGACAGGGGTGGGCAAAACACAGTCCACGGGCCAGATCCAGCCCACCAGGCCATTCTATCTGGCCAGCAGGGCCCCTAAAAAAAAAAAAAAAACCTAGAAAATTAATTATTATTTTCCTGTGGCTGCCTGTCAAAAGTGACAAGGCACCAGCAGCAGCAGGATGCACGAGGAGCCAGTGGCAGGCAGCAGTAGCAGCAAGACCTGCCCAGCCCTGCCCCACTCCTAGTCCCCAACCAAAAGCTTCTGCCTAGCAAAGGCTTCTGGCCTGCTGACCCTGGGGCTGTTCCCTGCCTTTCTTTGCCTGAGAGGGAAACTCATGTAAGTATAGGACTTGGGGGGGAGGGGAGTTTGAGGATCACCAGCACAGGAGCCAGCCCAGCCCAGCTGGCACCACGCAGCTCCCGGCTGGATCCTGCTGCACCATGAAATCCCGGCCCTGTAGGCGAGAACCATGTTCTGCCGAAGCAGTTGGCAGGGGAAGGGAAGCAGTAGGGGAAAGGCAGTGGTGGCGGTGGGGCGGGGTGTTAGGGGCAGCAGGCAGGAATGTGGGGTCCCAGGGCCAGGGCAATAGGAGCCAGCTGGGAACCATGGGGGCTGGGCTGGCTCCTGCTGTGGTCCACAGTCCCAGCTTTGCAGCTGGGAACTGCACACTGGTGAGAGATGCCAGCCAATTCTGTGCTGCACCATAAGGTTCCCAGCTACAATGCAGAGACCTATGCAGTGCGTCTCAGAGCTGGTCGGCCAGACCCAGTGGTGCTCAGTTTCCATGCCATCAGGCCAAGATGGGAAGGGCCAGGCTGGCTCTGTATGGGTCCTGGCATTGCAGCAGGGAACTGTGCCATATGGCAGAGCTGGCTGAGAGCCTCCTGGCACCACACAGTTCCTGGCAACATGGCACTGAGCCAACCTGTCCCATCCTGGGATCCATGAGTCATTATGAACCCAGGCAGACCAGCCCTGTGGTACACGATTCCCCGCTGTAACGCCGGGACCTGCACAGAACCAGCCTGGCCCAATGGCGTGCTAGTGCCAGGAGCCATGTGGAATCCCACACCATCAGGCTGGGCCAGCTCGCAGGGTTCCTGGCACTCTAGCCAGGAGCTGCACAAGAAGGCACAGAGCCAGAGTCCCACAAACCCTACCTTGCAGCCAGGAACCATGTGGTGCCTTCCCTCACACCCCACATCCATACACATGGACACACACACAGACAAACACCCACAGTCCCCCACAAACCAACACCCCCCCCCCAAAAAAAAACCTCATACCCACCCACCCATACCCTCCTCCCCACAATGTACAAGAGTAAGATTTCACTTCAAGCTATTATGCAATCACCTCTATATACACATCAAAACACACAAATCAGGACAAAATTTTTTTTTAAATAAAATGTTATTGTAGCTGTGTAATTTTTAGTATACAATTTAGTTTTTTTGTGGGTTGGAACACGGTAACTCCTCCTCACAAAAGGAGTACTTCTGGGGTAGGGGAGGGACTTTCAGTGGCAAAAGGTCAGGGATTAGGGGCAGGACTTCTGGTCCCAAGATGGCAGCCAGAGGGTGGGGCACCTGTTGAGGGGCAGGGCTACCCTTGCCACCCTCAACAGCTCACCAAAACTTGTTAAGCAGCCCTCCAGCCAAAATAATTGCCTGCCCCTGGATTAATGCCACAGTTCCTTATAAGGCATCTTGAGCTCTATGGAAATACACACACCTGCCTTTCAGATTTTAGCCTTTCCTTTTCTGAGGCCTCCTGAAGCAATAAAAATGTAATTAGTGGCATTACTGTCAGCCATGCAGCTAATTATGATTTTTTGCTGCAAACATTGGTGCCTGAAAGGGTTGTCTCCTTCCCTGGACCATGCCCTGAGATGCAGCCATTCTACACAGGAGACAGCAGTAGCAGTCTGTTGGAAGAATATCATTCACAGTAAACTTCCTTTCTCTTTATGCCAAAGTCCACACAGGTTGGCTCCTTTACTCACTATGCAGCTGGAACATTTACCCTTTGAGGACATATGTGCAAAGGTAGCCTAAATATATAAATATTGTTCTGGTGATTTCCTGCATTTTGTTAGATAGGTGATTGCCATGTAAAACTAACAGATAATTAAAATATGTTAGCTAAAACCAATCAAGACTGGTTGAACAAGGTCATCTTGTATTCTTTGACTAATTCATACAGGACTAAGTTTTTCACATATTAATTCTGAGTATGTGGGAATCAGATAAGACTACTGAGTCTTAGGAACTGTTTCTAAACATATATTCTGGTAACATTGCCTTGTTCTGTCATATAACCTGAGAATATTTTTAAGGCTCTTTGAAGAAACATTTTCAGAACTGCTGAAAACAACTGAGAATGGCCAGTTATTTCCTTTCTAGTAAGGTATAATATTTTTCAGTGAGACTTAACTTAATTCAAGCTGCCATTCTCTAAATCTGTTTTATACTAGCTATATATCTAGAGAACATGCACACTAAATACTTTGACTCCTTTAGAATTTGATCAACTATACCTCTGCTTCAAGTTGGTCGCTGCATCCCTAGCCAAGTAAAGAAGCTAACTTATTTCATGACTAACTTAAATCAGACCTAACTAACTTAACTAACTTAAATCAGA